CCCCAAAACCCCAAAACCCCAAAACCCCAAAACCCCTATATTTGCTGCATACATTGAGATTCTGTTTTTAAGAGAGGTTTTAATGGGACCAAGGAAGTAATGCCTCAATTAGGGATTTTGTGAGCGAAGATTGGTATTTGAGTGGAAGTATAGGTGAAATTACGATTAATTTAGGTACTTTGAGGCTTTGAGGGAAGTGTTGGAAATTTTGAATATTATGGTTTCTAATTAAAGATTTTTTTAATTTGAAAGTGATTTAGTTGATGAAAAATTTGTTTGTTATTGAAGTTTTGGAAATATTTAAGGTCAGGTTTTTATGATAGATGAGAAGATTGGTAATCTAAAACATCGAATTTAATAAATAAATCTCTCTTCTTTTGATTTTATGGCAAAAAGAACTAGTTAAATTATTTTTACCTCAGATACATCTAATACCGAGCAATTTACTGTCGAATTTTAACAAGAATTATGCATTATTCATCACTTTCTATTTCCTCGCTTTCGAGTTCACTTTCATTTTCAATCATGGATTGGTCGCTATCGTCATCATTCATCTGGCTGTCTATTTCTTCTTCATTTCACAAATATTTTGGCTCAATTTCAGCTTGGACCTTATCAGTAGAGTTTATCCAGATTTTGATTGTTTGGTCGTAGGAACAAGAGAATAAATAATTCGGGAGTTTGTCTTCCCAAGCGATTGAGTTTACTACATTTTGGTGCCCTTCGAGAGTTTCTACAATGTCTCCAGTTGATTTATCCCAGATATAAACTTTATCGTTTTCAGACCCACTAACAACATATTTTTCAAATTTTCCTCCAAATATTGGACTGAGGATGAACTTTTCTTGGGTGTGGCCAACGAATTTTTGAAGTTTGGTATCATTGTTAATGTCCCAGAGCTCGATAACTGCTTTGTTCTCTTCTTCACTAGCATGCTTGCTTACAAGGAGTGATTGCCCGTCTTTGGACATTGTAATAGCCCTAATTTTCTTCTTGACGCTTAAAAGTTTGATCTTTTCTCTTGAGCTTATGGAAATAATTCCGACTTGGTTTTCTGAGCAATAGGCAAATTTGTCTACATTAGGGACTGAGGCAATGTCGATGAATGTAAATCCTGTCCAATCATAGAAGATGTCAGTGTTATTGGCGTTAACACATCTCATACCTTTTTCAGGTTCAGTGAAGATGATCTCTTCTCCTTCTTTAACCCAAGCAGCTGACCTAATGCTGCTTGTTTCCCCGTCAATCACTTTTATGCATTCTCCAGTAAGAGCATTGAATACTTTGATGTTGTCACAAGCAACCAGGAATTTTGTAGAGTCTGGATGCCACTGAATGCATGAGATTTCGCAATTTTTGTTCGTATGACTTTCTTCAATACAGGAAATAAGGTCGATCTGAAGTTTGTTCTCCTTTCTTTCAAGTCCCCACACGTTAATCATTTTATCCTGGCTTACCGATGTGAGCTTTGAGACGTCTGGTGATAAGGAAACATACCAGATCTCGTCCTTATGGTTACTAATTGTTGTCAATAGAGTTTTTGAAGGAGGGTTTAGGTTACACTCATGGTATTCCAATAAAGAATACTGAGATTCTTCTTTGTCATATCCATAGCACTTACACTGAGATATTTGATAATTCAACGAAGTTCTAAAGATATTTAAACTATACTTACTGTAAAAGATTTTCTAATAAGTTATTCTGAGATATTTTTAATAAAGTTGATACTTTATCTGTACTAGGGGCGCCGTTATTACGTTCTTCCGCTCTTTCCTGCCCATTATCTCTTTTGCTAAATTAACCGTTAGTATAAAAGATTATAGCAAACAAGATTCTTTTAAATCATGAAGAAATGCAACGAAGTAACTCAATTTCCTTCATAATTTTTAAAGATATTTTGAATGGGTTTCTGACCAAAATTAATTGTGAGAAAGGAATGAATCTTACCTTTGAGATCTCATTTTTATGGGAGAAATAAAGTTTTCCAGGTATGAAAACAGATTACTCCTTGCAGACTCTCCAGTGCTGTTGTAAGGGAACAGGGCTTTTGATGTTTTCTCTACATCCATAACCATTGATGTAAGGTCAACTATTCTGTTTTGTTGGACAATATTTTGAGTTCCAAGTTTTGAAGATGGGACTATTTGTGTTCTCAATACTTCAATTGCTTCACAATTACTTCCTTTCTGGAGGAGTTCTAAGTATTTGTGCTCGTAAAGAGCTATTTTTATTTGTGCAGCTTTCATACAATCATCTTCTAATTCAGGAATAAGTTTAATAGCTTCGTCAAAATTTCCATCGGTTACTAATTGTTTGAAATTCTGTAAAGCTACTCCCTCAATTTCAAGTCCGCTTTCTTTTTGGAAGGTTTTGGCTGATTCTGAATGTCCCTGATATATGAATGAAACAATTCTTACTCTTTCTTGTAGGTACTGGAACAATAGGCTACATATTTCCTTCTCGTATTTTTTGTGGAACTCTATAAATAAATATGAGTCACTATCAAGGATGTATTTAGTTAAAGAACCTTACCTTCAGTGCTTTCCATTTAAAATTTAAATTATATTATCTAGCTTTTCTAAAGATCTTATATGTGATTTTATTGGGGTTTTGGGGTTTTGGGGTTTTGGGGTTTTGGGGTTTTGGGG